CTACGTAATGTAGATTGCAACCTATTCCCGTTTCGAAGATACAGCCAATAATAATTTAAAACGTAACGTATTTGTAGTACGATTGCGTAAACTCATAAACCGCAATACTGACAATGAATTTCGGAACACAGGCAATGTAACTACAAAGCAATTACGTAAATGGCGATTTCAACGTACAAATATCTAAGATGAAATTTTCTAACGCGAGAAAACTCGTTATTTTAGCCATTACGTTGGCTGGTGACCAAAGTGACAGTTACAGGTTAGGACACGATGTTCGTGACTCTCGAGGCTAGGCTTATCCGTCGGTAACTTATCCATCGCTCCGTCGGTAACACGATTTACACGACAAAGAACATGAAAGGGAAAACAATGGAAAAGTTTGCAACGTGCACACAAACTGTCAATTCTATTCCATACATATACTAATTAGAATGTCAACGGCATACCGCATGAGCAAAGCTGAGAGTTTGTAACCAAATGCTGTTTGGACTGCGTAATGGGCAAAATGTACGTGTATTCCCGTGTATTTGATTTATGCCAGGATATATGTACATACATCCAGTACAGGGTCATACACAAACCGCTGTTCCAATCTCTCCTCTCTGGCTCTCTTGTCCACTCGAAATACATATCTAGAGACAGTGCAGACTAATCTGACAAATATTACAGGGCTGTTACGTCATAGGCATTCTAACCAAGCAACAAGATTGTTTCCCGATGGGTAAATACCAGCAAGGATAATCCAATGAAAATGCGGCAGAGTGGCTGCTGCCATTTTTCATCTAAACTATATTAAAGGTTGAATATTTTTTTATCCTCGAGACATTTTTCACGGTGCTTCTAAAACTACCGAGGTAACCTCGAATGGCATCCGCGAAAATTTTATACTCAACCCAGAGGAAAAACCATCCGAATTTTCATCACGTTATATAACGACGGCGTAAACGTTTACGAATGAAATTCGTGACATTAGAACGCCTCTGTGAATCTCGTATAAAATTAATTAAGAAAACACGAGTTTTAATTGCAACGAAACCGCGAATTTCAACTAAAAATAGTCTGCAGCCCAGTTTTAATAATAAATGATTTTCGTAGTAAAACTAGCATTTTCTTCAGAATCCTACAACTCTTAGCACCCAACAACAATGGATGTTGGATAAATAATCTGTAGAACGATGTCTTAAAAAATCTGACAGTTTCTCATATCCGTATTCAAAAAGCAAGATGGTGGCATCTTTCTATATTGTAGTCGAAGGTTTCAAAACAGTTCTGGCAGTTCTGAACAGTACCCTGTATTTTGTCAATAGTTCCGCCAGCGATCCATGCCAAACTTTAAAACGCTATCTCACAATACTTTCGTCGACAAGTTCCAAACAGTTTCGAATAATTTAAAAAACAACACCGTCTTTAGTGCGAATTTTCCTTACTGTCCTATTTAATCTCTATAGTAAATACACAATCTGCTGTAATTAAAGTCGAGCTCTTACAGCGACGATGAACCCTGGAATATTCACTGTATCGTCCTGTACTAATGCGACACCCTGCAGAGACGATATTTCATTTTACCCTCCTGTCAGATTGCGTAATCAGTAACGTCATTCGTCCAGCAAAGGATACAACAGCAATTTCCGTGAAGCATGCCCCGAATACCTGCACGTATACATAGAACCCTTGTAAAAAAATACTCAAATTAATAATCAACAAAAGAATCATTCCTAAGCGCGATATTAAAGCGTCAGCTTGACTCGCGTAGTCCTTCGGTCCGACGGCCATGATGCCAGAATTCAAATTCCTATTGGTACACTAGTGCAGCCAAATCTCCTGCTTAGAAATTATTACTGCAAGCGACGTACTTGTAATTAAGTCAGCCTGGTAATTTAAAGAGACACGAGAGAGAGAGAAAGAGAGAGAGAGAGAGAGAGAGAGAGAGAGAGAGAGAGGGGGGGGGG